AGGCCGCGGGCCGGGAGCCTCGGCCCGCCTGCGCTGGGCGCTCCACCACCCTTAGTAGCGGCTCTGCGCCCTCCCGGGACGGCTCTGCGCCTTGCCGGGACGGCTCTGCGCTCCCGGCGTCTGTAGCGGGGGGAGTCGTTACGGGACCGTCCCCTTTTTCTGCAGCCATGGGAGCAAAGAAGAAGCTTCTGCAAATCAAAGAAGCTTTTCAGCTGGCTCAGAAGCCTTACCAGAACCACGCGAAACTTGTTGTGGCTTTGAAGAACACCTATAATCAGGTACGCCCGCCCTCGGCCAGGCTGAGGGGAAGAGCGGGGCGCCCAGCAACTGCTCTGCGTTTCTTTCAGAGGTCAGGGGCCCTCTTCGGCCTTTTTCCCTCTAATGCGAGCGTTGAAGCCAGTATGCTTAAGAACAGCCCTACGACTTAAAAAAACACCCCTCAAACCAACAAAAAATCCCAAGCCCTACGCTGTTATTATACACGGTTGTCTCCTGCGAGCATGCGTGTAAGAACAGCCCACAGTAGGCATTAATGATGTTGCTGGAAGGTGTTTGGATAGCCGAGAAGCAGGTTTGGCAAGAATAATAATGGATGAGGGTGTAGATTGCCGTTCTGAAACCTGTTAACAGCTAAATGTGAACTCCAGAATGGAGCCCCGAGGTCATGATGCATGCCCGCTGAGGAGTTAAAATTCAGTGAGGAGGGCAAAGCAGCGGGTGTGTTCTACCTGCTGGCTTTAGCTTTAAAAATTGCAATGAAAGCTGTAATTTATAAAACTATTTATTTTCTTTTTGTGTGGTACTACTTTTGAAAGATGTACCGGGTAGTTATCTTTCTTAAGGTTTGATTTTTCTTTTTTTTTTTTTTTTTTTCCCCCAGTTGGAAGATAAGGAAGACTTTAATGAAAAGTTCATTCATTTTCTTAAGTATGCTATGATAATCTACAGACGGGAACCAGCAGTGGAACAAGTGATCAATTTTGTGGCTCAATTTGTTACTTCATTTTATCAAGTGGAGGAAGAGGATGGTAGTGAGGAGGGAGAAGAAAATTCACTTCTGAGTTATGTGTTTAACTTTCTGCTTGAGGTACAGTAACACGTATTAAATCTTTAACAAATAGAAACTTCATGCAGTAGGGAAGACTTGCTGGCTCTTGGAGTTGATACCTAGAAACTAGAATTTAAAAAGTGAAAGCAAGGCACAAATAGTGCTTTACAAGTAACACTACTGTCCCCAACCCCAAAATCCTCGCCACACCCCACCAAATAACCCCACAACTGGATTTTAGAAGTTAGGCTCGTGGGAAAATATGAATTGTTTTCTTATTTGGCTGTCAGGTGTGTCATTACAGGTTTTACTATAGGTGCGTTTATAAGTCTGAAATTGTGGAACTGTTATGGAAATGAATTTGTACTGTTTCTTTGATAAGTAAAAATATTAAAAGATCTTTCATACAAGTATGGTTGGCATATGTATTATTCCCTTCTGCTTATTGCAAGTGTTATAGAGAAAGTGTTATAGAGAAGATTAATGGTTCCTATAGCATGTTTTGACATAGAAAAATTATTGGTCAGGCCAAGATCACTAGTCATCATTGCTAATATTTTTCTTTGTCTTCTAGTGTTTTATGGAGACAGAGTGGTAAATTAGCTAATGTATTGTAGTCTACACTGAGTGATAAACATGTTTCTTCCTTTGTGAAGGCAGTGCTAATTATGTAAAGTGCCACCGATATAGGTGATGGGCCATAATTGTGTTCCAGTTCTGTGACTCTTTAATCTTAGTTAAAATAAACTTATATAGGAAGACCTTTTGAAATACAGAAGTGCATATTTCATGTATTGTATAGAATATTAACTATTTACATGTGCATATTAATAGCCTTATGTTGGAAAGGAGAAAAGTGTGATTGTAAGAATTTTTTTTTTTCCATTTCCCCAAGTCTCACAATGCAAACAGCCATGCGGTTAGGTTTCGAACATGTCAGCTTGTTAATAAGATTTTGGGAAATATGCCAGAGAATGCCCAGATTGATGATGACTTATTTGATAAAATTAATGAAGCTATGCTGATTAGACTTAAAGATAAATTTTCGAATGTGAGAATTCAAGCTGTCTTGGCCCTGTCGAGACTTCAAGATCCTAAGGATGAAAACTGTCCTGTTGTTAATAGTAAGTAGTATTGCCTTTTTTTTTTTTTGTCTAAGAACATTTGTTGATTTACATTAGTTTAATACATTTTTGAGAATTTTTATTTTTTTAGGCACTGAGTAAACAAATCTTAGAGGGTGTTCAAGGGGGTATTAAGCGTTCAAGGCCAGGTTGGACGAGGCTTTAAGTAACCTGATCTAGTGGAAGTTGTCCCTGCCCGTGGCATGGGGGGTTGGAATTAGATGATCTTTAAGGTCCCTTCCAATCCAACCTGTTCTATGGTACTTCTAATAATTTGTAGATTGTGGAGCTCTTTGCCAGGGTAGGTTGTAGGTGCAAGAGTTATGTGTGTTCAAAGGGAAAAGACAGAACTGCTTGAATGAGAGATCCACTGGGGATTAAATGACAGACCCAGAGCCAAATCTTATTGGGCTCAGGCTATTCTGTGAGCTGAAGGATGGTGAGAATAATGGCGTGTTGTGAATTGCAATGGAGTTCTTACCCTCTAAGGACCATTGTGTACTATGAGTTGAATTTGTGCAAAAACACTTACAGGAATAGAGATGATAATAGAAAAACTAATTTTGTTTCAAATTATGGCTGCCTGCCTCTTGAGTGGCAAACTGATTACTGACAGTGTTGATGTATGGTTTTTTTGGCTCTTTAAGACATCAGCACCTCTGGAACCCGGGCTTCTTGGTGCTGTTTTTGTGCTGTTTGTGGGTTTCTTTGTCTATGTATAATTCTTGATTAAGCCTACACTTCTGTTGCTTTAAGGTAGAAGGACTGTAGGCTTGTACCAGCTCAGCTCTTATGTAAATTGTTCCCTGATTAAACTGTCCACAGAGTCTTTTGTGAAGAGACTTAGTTGGGCTTTTTTTGTTGTTAAGGTACCTTCTCTGAAATTATATTTTCTTTGTAAGTTGCTTATTTAGGAGCACATAAATTCCATAGTCAATCATTATCTCACAGAGCAAGAAGGTGAATTCAAGTATTCTCTGATTAAATTATTTTTGTTGTTGCTTTTAATTTTGAAGAAGGGTCAAGAACATAACAAAAAGCGTTATGTGAGAGAGATTTACTATTTGATATTTGGTAGGAGATTGCAGTTTTCCCTGTATAGGAAAATGTGAGGATCCACCTCAAGGGTAATGAGGATGTATACCTAGTGAATAGAGAGAGGTCTTAAGGAGCCAACATTTGGAAGCTTTTTGTTGTCCAGTAAATGACAAAGTGGTTATTTACAGGTGGGAACTCGAATAGCAGTTTTCAGAGTTATTAAATTAAGTTCCTACTTATGATTGCAAATATTATTGTACTAGTTGAATTTCTTTTGAGATCATAGCTCAGCATGTAATTGCTGTAAAATCATGGGATTGTCATCCTAAACTGTTCCCTAAGTTTGTATGAGCTATGCAGGGGTGGAGGAGGGGTTTTAATAATGGCTGCTGATTTTTCTTTTTGAATTTCTTTGATTTTTCTCTTTTGAATTTTCTTTTTTATTTAGTACTTTGTGTTTTTCTGTAATGCTTCAAACTCTTATGAAAACATTCTTATGACTATTTTACTTTCAGTTTACAACACATTGCTTGAAAATGATTCAAATTCAGAAGTGAGGCGTGCAGTGCTGTCATGCATTGCTCCATCAGCAAGGACTTTGCCAAAAATTATAAGCCGTACTATGGATATAAAGGAAGCTGTCAGGAAGCTGGCATATGAGGTAAATTGGATCACTTAATATTAATTTCAAAGAGTGACTTAGGAAAAAGGCTTTAAACCTTTTGTTATACTTCACTGTTTAAACACTAAGAATGGTTAAATAATTTTATTTTCACTTACCAGAATTTTGAGGGGATGATTTAATACAGGTTTTCAAGTTAAACCCCCTGAACTTGACTGAAGAACTTGATAGAAATTACTTTTGTGATAGGACTTGTCTCTTTAGGATCAGACAGTGAAAGCATAAATTATGTATACAATCCCTTGTTTTCTATGTATGAATTATGTGATTATGAAGCAATTTTTCTTCTCTGTTATTATGTAATAGGCAACTAAGAAAAGTTAGGATCACAGCAATACTAGTGTAAAAAAACTGCTTATTTTTGGTGTTCCAGTTTTGAAGAAGTATCAACCATTACTTATGCTTACATGTAGAGGTAAGGGCAAGAAGGTGTGCTACCATGTATATTTCTTGTGCAGGCATCTCATCTTAGGCAAGATCTTCAAAGTAAAATGTTCAATTTTTTTCACAGAGAGCCATCTTGTGTTCTTTCTTAATGTAGATTATATCCTGTTTTTTAACTGAATCTGTGTTAGGCTTTAAGAAAAGTACACACTTCAGTCATTTCATTGCAGGTATTCATTACTCTTGGAGCTTTAAAGAGTAGTTTTCATATCCAGGTGTTGCATTCAAGTGGAGCTGCCAAGCTTCTAAGCTATTTGTTAACTTCATTCTTACTTAATTTTATTCTACATTTTCTTCCGTTCATAAGAATCTGTTAATGTATTGGTACAATGCTGATGGTGTAGGTATTACAGGGTCTTACTGACTTACGGCTTCTGTGGAGGGATAGAACTGAATTTAAAACCACAAGTAGTTAATGAATGCAGTTGTTATAATTTGTAGAAATGTATTTTAATGTCTTAATTTTTTTAAGGTTTTGTCAGAAAAAGTTCACATGAGAGCACTGTCAATAGCACAGAGAGTAAAATTGTTGCAACAAGGACTTAATGACAGATCTGGTAAGAGATCTTTCTCAACATCTTAATGCAAATGTTTAAGAGCGAATACTTTCTAATGTTTTGGGTGTGATTTATTTGGAAGCTGTAATGGTAATAATAAGGAGCTTAAAGGGAGTCATGAGTTACCAGGAAATGTTCAAGCACAAGATGTTCTTGCTGCTTAGGTTTTCCAGTCCCCTTATAATGGACAAACAAATAAAGGATTGTGCTTTCAAAAAAGCTTGAAAGCCACTGAGCTCTAAAATAGGACCAAATGCTGCTATTAAAATTAAAAAAACGATGTAATTATTCAGTGTATTTTAAAACATGTTTTGTTACAGATACTTTTGTAATAATAAATATATTAAAGAATTTAAATGTAAACATTGATATCAGTTTGATAATTGTTTGAGAATTCTTTACAAAAGCACACAGGAAACGATCTTCTCAGCTGGTTAGTTTTTAGTTTAATTCACCTGATTTTTTCTTTAAATGAATTTTTGATTGACTCTCATTTCATCATGAAACAGTTTTATTCTTTTTGATGTCTTCTGTACTGTATCTTTTTTATATAAAGAGCCATTCAGATGTACCCATAATTGTGTGACATGTTGTTGCCAGAAGATCAAAAGGTCACATGCATCTGAGAGACAATTTTGGCCTGCCTACATAGAAGATGGCTTTTTTTTTTTTCAACAATAGCAATTAATTATATACATGAATTTAACAATAAAAGCTCCAGTTTTACTAAGTGCTACTGTGCTATTCACATACTTTGTTTGGAAAGTCTGTGCTAACCCCTGCTGAATTTCGTTCTGAGAATTTTCCTTGCTTAGTGATGTGTTGCTTGTGAATTTACGAGAAGTGTGACCTATGTGGATATTCACTTAGAGTAATACTAAGACAGAAGTACTGTGTTCATTGGTAACTGGAGCTCTTAAAGATGTGTCATGTATGCATGTGTTTCTGTTGATCTGTTTTTCTTCTTGGCTAGTTGGGGGTCACGTTAAGTATGTTCTTGACAGCAAAGGAAGAGAGGATCAGCTGAGTATTTTCTTATGCTGTATAGATTTACACTTAAAAATAAGTCGTCCTTCTGTACAATAAGTTAATTAGCATTTTTCCCCACCTACTATGAATTTTTCTATAATAGTCTAATGAAGCTTGTCAGGTTTTGGTTTTGAAGTCCAGCACTGAAAGACCCATGTTCTGAATTTACTATTTCTTATCAGTATGCTAGTTTGTTGTTTGACTTAACTAGCTGCTTCTTGTCTGCTGGCTGCTGCTGCCACACCAGCACATATAATACTTGATCTTGACAGATAATTCTTTTATTTTAGGATGAACGTGTTTCTGTTTTAGTAATCTTTCAAAACGGGGGGGGG